TTTCCTTTCATTTTCTGTGCTTCAGGGATCTTGTCCCACAAATCCTGCTCATTCCAAAGTCCTGAATTTTTCCCCTATGTTTTCTTCTAAATGTTTCATACTTTTAGATCTTACATTTTAGTGTTTAATCCTTTTTGAGTTGATTTTTGTAACTGGTGAGATGGGGGTTCTATTTCATTCTGCACATAGGTGTCCAATTTTTCCAGAACCACTTATTGAAAAGGCTGTCTTTTCTGCAGTCCGTGTTCTAGCATGTTTGTCCAAAATTAGTTAGCTCTGGATGTGTGGGTTGAGCTCCAGGGACTAAAGTGTTAAAGGATCATTTTTTAGGATTTCTTTATTTAAAACATTTCTGATCTCTATTTTAATATTTTATAACCTAGATTCAGAATAAAACTTTTTTCTAAAGCAATCTGTAACTGACAGCAACTTGATAAAGTGTATTTCCATAAGGGGAAATTTAAAAAATATTTACTTTTACTCCCTATCTGATTCCTCAAAAATTCAAGAATTATTCATAACTGTCTTTATTTAATACCACCATAATTTTTTACATAATTATTTAAATTATGGGAGGCTCAGGAACCTTAAGATATTAGCTATTACAGGTAAAAATCTAAAGTCAGTCTTGGTTTGGCTTCCCAGCATTAAGGTTTCTAAAAGTCCAATCTGAGATTGTTTTTCAAAATTTCCTTAAAACCCCACAAATTTAAAAAGAGCCCCTTTAGCTATTCTTGCTAGAATTATCCAATGATCAAACCAAGCTTATTGATAATTGTTACAGTTTGTTCTTACCGTGGTTATGATTAGTAAAACTGGGAATAATTATAGAAATTATGTCTCCAAGATGAAAGTGCACCTATTTACTGTCTTTGAGCTTTCATGATCTACCTGTGAACTGGACTGGATTCAGAGCCCTTCTAATTGTCTGTGATATCTATCTACAACTCTCCAATGAAGGATAAGAGTTGCTTGTTCTTAAAGCCCTACAAACTGAAGCTAGACAACTAGATGAGGATTTCAAGAAACAAATCTCATACGTAACATTGTGGGCACTGTAGAGATTTCAGCAAATCACCGATGCCATAACCAGAGACATCCGAACTATAAAACTGCTGACTTCATGCTGTGGACAATTTCTGCATGGCTGCTGGAGCAGAGCTCCACACCATCATGAGATTCTAACCCCTCTCACTGCTGACTTTTTCATGCAGCAGGATAATGCTGTAGTTACAGTTTCACAATGAATAGCTGCTGTGGGCACCTGGATGGCACCTTAGCTAACAGATCCTCTGGCCCACCTATTGGATAATCCTGACAACATCCCCGATACACTTCTAGTCGGAATTGTGCAGACATTCCTCTTTCTTATCTGTAGAGCTGACACTGTTTGCTTTCATCCAACCCAGGCATGGGATGGTACTCCATGGTTACATCAGGTCTCACGAACTCCTCCAGAGTCTTCCAGATTGTTTCATTGGTTCCCTGAGGCTTGGGCTTTTGGTTCCTAGCCATTGTACAAATTGGATTAGTCATGTTCCTGTTGGTCTTCCATTGTATTGTTTCCTTTAAATTCTGTATTTTTTTCTTGTCCAACTTCTCTAGGAACAACTGTCTTAATAAAATAAAGTTGGTCCTGCTTTTCAAATGATAACCAATGTCTATGGAGTTCACACAATTAAACTGAACAAATGAACTCTAGATAGATTTAACTTGAGACACTCCCAGTTGATCAAATGTGAGTGAGAAAGGTTCACCATTGATCTCAACTGAGCAGCCACTTCCTTTCAATGTGGGACCATACCAACTTGGGCAAGTCCACATCAGTACCATAGATAATCAAAACCTAAGCACAGACGGTTGATGAGCAATGCTTTCAGAGAATGCTCTATGACCAAAAAATAAAAAGAAGTGTGAAAGTTGGCAGATTTAAGTTGGATTTATCCATGCTAAACCCTGGCCATGCCGAGATTGGGAAGCAATGGCAGGAAGGCTCTCATGTAGGTCTTGACTGATATTAAAATGATACAGGTACATCCATGTCTACAGAAGCACAACTCATGAGAGCTAAATCCTGGAAGCAGCCTATATGTCCACCAACAGATGAATGATAAAGCAAATTTGGTGCTTACACACAGCAGAGTATTACTCTGCTATAAAGAAGGATGAACTGGAGTAATTTATAAGAAAATGGACTCAACTTGAGACCATAAAATTAAGTGAAATAAATCAGATACAAGTTTAAATACAGCATGATTTCTCTTACATGAGAAACCCAAGGTATACACAAATTAAAGAACAAAATTAAAACGGTTAATAGGAAATAAGCAGATAGACTTTCACTAAGGGGAAGGTGACTGAGAGATGGAGAGAAAGTTGGGGAGGGGAAGGAGTATGGAAACAATTAAGACGTGTTAAGTATGTGTACTAACTCTCCATGATGAATGTAACTGTTATGTACTGCAAACTTGTACTAATAAAAACAAGAAGCTAAAGAAATAACAGGAACAATCACAATGACTGCTAGTCACTCAGGGAGAGCTAGCAACAAAGGACAGCCACCAGCACAGGAAGAGCTCAGGGCAGGAAGACAGCTGACCACTTACAGAAGAACATTTGGCTGACACCGTGTCACAGACCAACTCAACCAAACAACATGCTATGTCTTCAAGACTACAAATTTTACTTAGTAATCTCTGGTACCAATAAACTTTCTTTCACAACAAGATATGTAACTCTCATCTTTCCCAATGCAATGCCAATCTTTTCTTTGTTCTCTGAATGTACTCAAAAGCATCTGCTCTATGAGTATATCCTTAACTAAAATTTTTTCTTGTTTTATTCCCAAATAAATAAATAAACATTCATTTTTCAGAGATTTGTTTCCATGTCTTTCTCATATGTTAATATTATAATGACAGGGCCTAATTCATGATTGTCTCTTAATTTTTAAATATTTATGTAAATTCTATTGCCATTGTTTTTTTCTTTTTTTTTGTTTTGTTTTTTCCAGTACTGGGAATCGAACTCACAACCTTGTGCTTGTCAGGCAGGCGCTGTGCCACTGAACTAAATCCCCAGCCCTGTCATTGTTTTTTATACTCCATATTAAGTGACAGTTACAAGTTCCAGGAATTATGTCATGGGTCTTTTTGTAGGTTGTTATTCTGACTGTCATGGAGTTATAAAGGAATATTCTACCCTGTCTTTGAAATTTATCCATTATGTCTAAAACAATTCTAAAGTGAAATTATTATTTGAAGTAAGATTAGAAATGGCCCTAATCAGAGAAACATCACCATAACAACAGAAGTGAATATCTGTGAAATGGCACACTGCATTGCAAATACAGGCACAAACATCGTAGCACATTCAAGCACCATCTCACAATTTCTGAGATGTAGGGGCATCTAGTTGTTCAGGGAAAAAGCCAAGACGGGCATACATCTTGTGAATAAATTTTGTATGGTAATAGAGCTCCTTGTGGATAGAAATTAAAAACATAAAATTGTGCATTACATAAGCACACTGAATTTATACTTCTCACTAGTAGCTATATTCATGTTTACATTTTAAATGGTCATTTAGAATCATTTAACTTTATCCTATAATTCATACATAAAAGTAATTTTCCAAATAGAATTACATATTAAACATTTATATAATCTCATATTTACTTGCTTTTTATGACTTACTAAATAATGTCTATTTAATGTATCACTTACTCCTTAATGAGACGTCAGGTCAAAGTAAAGATTATGAGAGGACTCACTTAGTGATGAGATTGCCAAGAAATTAGTGTCTAAAAGTGGGGGAGGGGTAGTGTGAAGTGAATATATGGGTTACAAACATTCCAGCAGAGCAGAAAATGTGCTGTACCCCTTGAAATGTCCCCCATATTTGGCTGAAAGGTTCGTACAATGAGTGACTTGCTATCATCATCAGTGGCTCAAAGATTCATTGTGATAATGCAGCCAGATTCAAAACTTAATTATTGCATTCATTCATTTGACATAATTATTGAGACACTACAGAGAAACTGGCATCTATTTAAGTACTGAGCAGGACCAAACAGATGAAGTCACTGCATTCATGGGGTTTAAATTCTAGTTTGCGGCGATAACAAGAGAGCAAATAATATACAACAGGCAAGTGCTGGTAAGGATTATGAAGAGTAACACAGGGCAAGGGGCAGTGTGAATGGGGAGAGGAAAGTGCATTTCTGTACAGGTGGTCAGGAAGGCAGGGATGAACAATTCACACTGTTTAAGCAGAGACCTGACTCAGGTGAGGGAACCTTCTCCCATAGAAGGAGTAGCAGGCACACAGGCCTTGAGGCAGGAATGTGCTTGGTTTTGTGAAGAAACACCAAGATCAGCGTGAGTGGCACGGGGTAAAGGACAGTAGGAGGGACAAGAGATGAGGATACTCGGCCAAATTTAGAATTAATGAACATAAGCCTTTGAGAAGTCCTTGCCTTTAAAAAATACTGTGGTATACTATTTAATAATGTTGGGATAGTCACATTAATATATTATAAAATGACTTTATTTTCCCTCCACTGTTATTATACTATGGCTGTTTGACCCTTTTGAAAAGTAGCAAGTGAAAATGTAATTTCTACAGAATGACTTGTCAAGCCAGAAATGGTAATTCATTTAAGATGCTTTTGCTCTGTGTCTCTCGATAAACTATGTCAACACTACAGCAATACTATTATTTATAGCAAGGTCACCTTTTTTCTCACATTAGAAGTAAAGAAAAATCCTGAGGGGTGGGGATAGGAGTGAAAACTCCAACAAAGCTGGAGTTATAACAATACCTGACTTCAAAATCTGCAGCAAAGTTTTAGCTACAAATGCAGCATGACCCTGACATAAAAAAATCAACACCAGACCCACGGGACAAGATGAAGGACCTAGAAATTAGACCCCATGCAGGCAGACAGCCAAGTTTTGACAAAGTGGAAAAGAACATACATTGCACAAAGAGCCACCTCTTCAATGCATGGTCCTTCCAAGAACCTTTTTGAATGCACTCTTGACCTCCTTGTTCCTCAGACTGTAGACCAGTGGGTTCAGCATGGGGATGACCATGGTGTAGAACACAGAGGCGATTTTGGCAGTGTCCATGGAGTGACTGGAGCTGGGCTGCAGGTACATGAAGATGGCGGTCCCGTAGAAGATGGAGACTGCGGTGAGATGGGAGGAACAGGTGGACAGAGCCTTCTGGTATCTTGCAGCGGAGTGCATTTTACAGATTGTAATAAATATGAGTAAGTAGGACACCAAGATAACCAGGAGGGCAAAGAAGATGTTGAAACTGGCCATGTAAACAAGAACCAGCTCATTGACATGCCTATCAGAGCAAGTTAGAGCCATGACTGCTGGAACTTCACAGAAAAAATGATGCACCATGTTAGACGTGCAGAAGGAGAGACTAAATGTGTCACTTGTGATGATGGAGGCAGTTAGGATACCCCCAAAAGTGCAGCCCATGGCCAGGCAGGCACACACCCTTGTGGTCATGGTGGTGGTGTAATGCAGGGGCCGGCACACTGCTGCATAACGGTCATAGGCCATTGAGGCCAAGAGATAATTTTCTACTGTGGCAAAGGCTCCAAAGAAGAAGGCTTGAGCAGCACAGTCACTGTAGGAAATGACCTTGTTTCCCTTGAGCAGCCCAGCCATGACTGTGGGAGTGACAGCCGAAGAGTAGCAAAAGTCCATCAGAGACAGGTTACCGAGGAAGAAGTACATGGGGGTGTGCAGACGAGCGTCCAGCAGGATCAGCAGGATCATCCCCAGGTTCCCAAGCATGGTGATGGTGTAGATGACAGTGATCACGATAAAGAGGGGCAACTGTAGTTCTGGAGCACTGGTTAGTCCCAAGAGGATGAACTCTGTCACTTCTGTCCTATTCTTCATCAGTGTTATTTTGGAATGAGGAGATGCCCTATAGTAAAGGGAAGTAAAGGAAAGTGCCTTAAATATAGCAGTGACTGCAGTGAAACTGAGATGTCTCTATATAATGCACATTGTTTTATTATTCCAATTATGTGTTTCAACATTCTTATAACTAAAGCATGAGATTAACAACAAAATTTAATATATTAATTATATATGGAGCTGCAGACTTGAATGAGGGCACTTTACACAACATCTCTACAGTTTTAAATTTTTATATATTTGTAAGATGAGATTTAAAATATTCAGTACATTGCTCTATACAACAATTCTGAAATTTAGAAAGCAATCAATTCATTACTTCCCAGACTAGTAAATCCACAGACTTCTATACAGCTAGCATGCCAGGAAAACTGCTCTAGACACTTCTACATCCATATTCCTCGATTTCCTAATAAATATATGAAGTTGAGTAGTCGTACTTTCATTTAGATTGTGAGGCACCAGAGGTTGAGTTAATCATGTTTCTAGCAGTATTAATTGCCAAACCAAACTTTGGTACCAGACAGAATGGTACCGAGTTTAATGATTTACATTAGACTTAAATCAAGTTGCATTTAAGTCTATTTGCAAATTATTCATTGTCCCCATTATTTTAAGCTGAGCGTTTGGGTATTCACAGTGAATGAACTGAGAGATCTGTGCATAGCAGATGTGGTGAGATCTCCAGGGATCACCAGTGCCTGGCTGACAATGGGGGTAACTCTTGATAGGAGGGTGCACCTCAGTGCAGAGCTCAGGCTCCAGGCAGAGAAGAGCATTTACAACCTAAGAATCATTTGTTCTAAATTAAGCTTCCTGAGCCAGATTTCCTTCATCTACAAAGTGAAGGTGGTAGTGACCTTATCCATCTCAAGGTGCTACTGTGAAAGATTGAAAGATAAGGGAATGAAAATGGTAAAATGCTGAGTGATCAGCACAACATGGCAAGTGCTAGCCATGCTCTTATCATGAGGAGGGGGCGAGGGCCTGTGCCTACTCTGAGAAAGGGGATGCAACATGTCGGGCTTCAAGTGTGCAGTACGCTTTTGCTTTTCTCTGGGGCCACTGAGATTTTATGTGCCCCTCACCCCAAACAATTCACTTTCTGTTCACGATCTGCCATCTGACGGACTGCTCTACTCATTGTGTGAGCACCATTCTTCTGTTTAATTTCTTTCTTGAAGTCCATATTTGAGCTTCAGTTGAAAGGACCCTCTTTTCATCACACTGCAATCACCCTATATTTGAATCACAGATATCAAAGGTTAGAGGTTCACAGCTTGTGGATTACTTTTGACCTGCACGTTGTTTTAACTGAAATGTCTAAAATTTAAACATTTTTACTTGAGTCAGTGGAAGTATAGGACCAATAGTTTAAATATGCTTATTTTAATTTATGGCCTTTGGAAACATATCCATCCTTTACTGACTATAACTCCCTGTCAATAACTTTCTGTTTCTTTTTCAGCTTCACTTTATAAGTCTGGCCCATGAGGATTTTATGTTTGTCCACCCTAACATACAAATCATTTTTAGCACAAAAATGTACAATATGTCATAGGAGATTTATATGTAAGTACATATGTAGCAGTGGGTTTGGGTATTTGCATGTATATAAGTAATATTTTTTTCATATTTACCATTAGGTCAATGTTAATTTGTGAAGATAAATGGTATTATAAAACTGCACAAGCAGCTCAAGGAAGATTCAAGATTCCATACTAAAATCTAATTGTATCCTAATCAAAACCTTGTACTTTCAGCCACATACGTGATTGTGAATATTCATAGGTGTGCTAACAATCATGAGGTAATGGGATTGTGTGTAAAATGCTGAAATGAGTTCAGGTTTTGTGGACTAAGTAGTTTGAAGAAGGGTCCTCTCACTGCGAATAAGTCAGGGTTTACTAGAGAAACAGATATAACACAAGATATACAAATGTATAAGAAATTATGTTTGTTTTAAAGAGAGTAGCAAAAAAGAACAATAGCAAAATATTGTCATCATAAACAAAAATAAAACAAAGCAAAAACATTAAAAATGATACAGGGTTTCAAAACAGAATGATAGGAATTAACAGTGGTTGTTTTATCACATATTGCTATCTTCAACAAAATTGCTCAGATTACATGATGTAAGAATGCAAGATTGGTCAAACCATTAAAGAGAATAAAAAATAACAATTAAAAAAACATGAGAGATGATACGGAGTTTCACTGGACAAGATGGTAGGAATTCACCAGTGGTTGTTATATTGTATATTGTTGTCTTCAAATCAGTTGCTCAGATTACCAAATATAAGCATGCAAAATTGGTCAAAAGATAAAAGAAAAGAAATCACAAGTTTGGCTTACAGTGGTCAGCCACAGAGTTGCATGAGGAAGCCCGTAGAGGGTGTCTGCATGCTGGAGGCTAAAGGGTTCAGTTCAAGGTCTGGAGCTCACTGCAGTGTCCATACAAGTCCATATCAGGAGGTTGATGGGGGAAGGCTGAAGAACCTATGCCAGAGGGCTGAAGAGTCTGCACTAGAAGCCAGATGTCCAAGCTGAAAGCGAAGGCTGGAGCTCCTCTGAAGAACCACCAATCAAGGGGCTGGGGATTTAGCTTAGGGGCTGGGGATTTAGCTCAGCGGCAAAGCGCCTGCCTGGCAAGCGCAAGGTCGTGAGTTTGGTTCCC